TGCATATGCCCTCTCTTCTTATCAACTGGATGCTTCATTCTCCACTCTAGTCCTCTGTGGTTATGTCGCTGACTCTGGGCCCAAGAGTCCCCAGGTCTTGCCACACAGCTGGCCAACCAGGTCTCCACCCAGGTTCACAGGAGTCTGTTGAACATGTAGGGCTTAGCTTGAAGCTTCATTGCTTTTTTCCCTCCAATTGTTTCTTGGGGGCGGGGAATGAAAAAAAGTTTTAAACACTAAAAGAAGTAATGGGAAAAAAAAATCAAGCTTGAGGAGCAAGGCTTGGTTGACCCAACAATAGTGCTTGTACTCTACCCTATTGATTGGAAAAAAACTTTATAGCACCTTAGTTTCCAGTGCATTTCCAAGTGGCAGGTACCATCTTGGTTCCTGATTCCCTTTTCCTGTCTAGTAAGAAAACAGGAAACCATCACTTGTGATGCTCAATCAATTATAACAAAATTTTTGAGAGGGGTATAGGAGGAGTAAGGAGTTAGAATTAGGACTATGACTAGGTCTAGGGTTTTGTGTGGTGTTAGGGTTAGTACTAGTGTTAGGGGTAGAGGTTGGGCAAGGAATAGATCTTGGTCTAGTTTTAAGGTTATAGTTTAGTTTGTTTTTATTTGTGTATTGGAATCTGATTTTTCTCTTCATTTAAAAGTTCTGTAACTACGCTACTCCTTCTTTTAACTTTTTGTTGTTGTTGTTGTTGCCGCTGCAAACTGATTACTGTGTTTTGTAAGATATGTTTTACTTTGGATACTTCTTTCTATATCTGGCTTGAGTTCTGGGTGATTGTTATATGTGTCAATCTCAAGTTGCTATCTGCCGTAGGTGGTTCTCTGTCTGAAGAATGCCCTTTAATATTTTTTTGTAAGCTTGTTCTGGTATTTACAAATTCTCTTAATTTCTGTTGATCTGCAGATTTCCTAATTTCACACTCAGTTGATGGATAATTTTGCTGTGTATATATGATTCTTGGTTGGCAATTTTTTTCTTTCAGTTTTATATATGACATCCCATTGACTTTTTGCCTGCATGGTTTTTGCTGAGAAATTAGACCTTTGTCTTACTAGTTTTCCTTTGTAGGTAACTTTTTATTTTTTTTTATAACTGCTTTCAGGATTCTTTGTCTTTGGTTTTGAAGAGTTTGATTATCATATGTCTTGGTGATTTTCTTTTAATGTGTACCTTGTCTGTAGTGCATTCATCTTCTTGAATGCATATCTTCTCATCTTTCATGTTCAGGAAGTTTTCCGGTAACAATTCTTCGAAAATCTTCTATTTTTGTGTGTGTGTTTCTTCCTGTTCTGGGATTCCAATCACAGGTAAAGTATTCTTCTTGATGGTGTCTCACACAATTCTTAGGCTTTCTTTAGATTTATTGTTGTTCCTCTTTTTTCTGATTGTTCCTCTAGCAGATGACTATTTAGAGA